ATACAGTTATTCTTCAAAGATTTCTAGGGGAAGGAGCACAACTGGATTTTAGAATAATGTATCAACTTCTACGTCAACTTTGATTTTTCTCCCCCCCCAAAAAATTATATAATTTTTTAAACCACACTGAGGCAGATGTGTGTTTACTTTGAGAAGTAAAAATGTTAACATTTAAACTGAAAGCCTGTTTCGGTTTTAAGGTACTTAATTGCCTTACAGCATATAATAAACGGAGCCCATCTTGTCATTCAACTAATGGAGGGAGTGATAAAGAGATAGGAGCCCAGGACCCTATTCATTCCAGTTTTCCTTTGTACTTGGTTTACTTTGGCATCGTGCCTCATGTGTATTTTACACTTCTTTACATTTTGTACATCCCTGTATGACAAATACTTGTCAAACAAAAACTAAACAGATTTATAACCCCTTAACTTGAAATGAGCCAAAATTGAACTGCCAAAACTTTATGACTTCATTTTCTTTCATAGTTTTCCACTACATTGGTTCAAGCAGACAAACCCCACTTGAGGTCAAGCAGAGGTCATTTCACTTTCATTACCAAAATATAATTTACAATATGCCAGACCTAAACAAGTTTAGCCTAAAGGGTCTGTATAATGTAAACCATCTGTTCCTCAACAATACAGCTAATTTCCTGCCGTCACCATACAGTCTACTGACTGCTTCTTTAAGGGCTTTTATGATTTTTTAACTAGGTCAGGATTTATGTAAAATTTGAAAATGAGTCTATAGTTAAGACTCATTTGTACCAAATAACTTGAGCATTTAAAAACTGCAAATCACTGTGTAAATTGTTCCCCTGAAACCAAGCTCTGAGCAGTTTTTTTCTGGGTATTTCTATGCTGGCTGCTGCACAGGTGTTCCAAGGAAAGGTTTTGTGAAATTGGTCATTTTGGTTACTTTCCGTGCTTTTTTTCCAAAGCAAATCCCCAAATTTGGTTCTGACTAGCTCTGATGAACTATTCCTTCCTCCTGTCAGCTGGAGATGATTTGGAACTCTATGCCGTCTGGCCCACCAGGTATTGGTGAGCTATGACAAGACACACTTTGGGCCAAAACATACTTTTTCATGTGTCTGAACAGAGAGAAAGAAGAACAATTATCATTCCACAGAGTGACCACACACTGAAGGCTGACCTCACAGCCCTGCAAGGTGTCAGGCCCCAGGCTGAGCCTCCAGAGACATGCTGTGTCCAACTGGGGTTGCCGGCCAGCCAGCTTCTCTGGTTTCAAACAGAAGGCCTTGTACACACAAGGGCAGCAATTTTGGCTCTCCTAAAATTCCTTGATACTTTTCTAAGCCTCTTTCTCCATCTGTAAAATGGCAAGAGTAAGAGTTCTTCTTCCAAAGGTGAATACCAGAGAACTAATTTTCTTACCTCAGTGTATGGGAATGCAGCCGGCTTTCTTAGCCGTGAAGCCCCAGGGGCCATGTGTCAGGCCAGCGCCAAGGTCCCCATCCACCTCCTCTTCTCTTCCAGTCCCCACTAGTTTGGCCTGCTTGCTTCCTTTCCCATCTGCCACCATCCACTTTTCCACGTGGGTCTTTGCTCCCTCCACCTCCATCCGCATCTTCCAGAATCCTCAGAGGAGCAGACCACAGGCCACTCAAATTCTTACCCACCCTCGGGTTCCAAAACAGAGTCTCTGTCATTCTTAAAGAATTTTTTTTAAAAACCAGCAACTACAGGAGAACAGAGAAAGATTAACAAGAAGAAATTTAAGCATTCGTTTTTTAAACATAGAATTATAGATGACTATCTAGAGCTATTTAAGGCTGTAAATGGATCTAAATCATTTGCATTGACTCCACTTTCTGGATTACTTCCCTAAGAAGGATAATAAAATTGATTTAAAGAGCACTTATTAGGTGGAAATTACTTTCATACATTGTTGCATGTAATCCCTACTGTAATTATGGAAGCTAGATATTATATTATTTTATAGATATGGAAATAGAGGTTCAGAAAAGTTAGGAAACTCACCCAAGGTCAACCACCTAATATATAGGGCTTATCCCACGGGGTTGTTATAGTAAATGAGTTAATATTTGTCAAGTGCTCAGAACAGTATCCGGCGCATAGTAAGTGCTATATAAATATTAACTATTAATAATAGAAAGCGGCAGGTCCAAGTTGCAAATTCAGATTTGTATGAGTCCAAAGGTTACATGGTTTGAATTACCCCACACTGCCTATGGGTTAAGCTTCAGCAGGGGAAGGGGGAAGAGTCCTAACGCCTTATTAGATCAGTCTAATATTCCTTGGGTTTAGTTCCTCATTCCCACTTTCCCTCAAAAGTAGTTTATTACTCAGCCCCATACCCTTCTCTATCACCAAAAGCATGGGGGATCCTGTTTAAGTCAAAAAGTAAGGGCTTCCCTGGTGGCGCAGTGGTTGAGAGTCCGCCTGCCGATGCAGGGGACACGGGTTCGTGCCCCGGTCCGGGAAGATCCCGCGTGCCGCGGAGCGGCTGGGCCCGTGAGCCATGGCCGCTGAGCCTGCGCGTCCGGAGCCTGTGCTCCGCAACGGGAGAGGCCACAGCAGTGAGAGGCCCGCGTACCGCAAAAAAAAAAAAGAAAAGTATAAAAAAGCATAAAGTGAAAAATCTCCCACCTCTGCCCCCCTCCCCCTAGTTCCCACCTCCATATCCTCCCAATAACCACTGCTGTTTCTTGAGTATCCTTTCAGAGTTTCTTTATGCCTATGGGCAGAAATATGAATATATTTATTCTTTTTCTCCTTCTCTTTCACACAAAAGCAGCATACAGCATTAACTGTTCTTTTGCTTTTTATTTTTAACTTAGTAGTAGGATTTTGGATATCAGTACATAGAAAGTGTCCTCATTTGTTCTTACAACTGTATAATATTCTTACAAATGTATAATATTGTTTTTACTAGCTCCACCACAATTAATTTAATCAGTTTCCACTAAGTAGACATTTAGGTTATTTCTAATCTGTAACAAACAATACTATAATTAATAGGACTGTATTAATAAGCTTCAATTGCCTAAATGTTTAAAGCAAGAAGTTGCCATTACTTTCAGCATAAGTAACTTTACTGTAAGACATTTATAAATACAAACCCCATAAAATCTGCTTTAACAAATTAGTGAGACCTATAGATGATAAGAAATATTATTTGCATGGAGGAATTAATGTTTCAAAATTCTCAGTTCTATTTTGTCCTCTTAAGTGGGTATTTTGCTGCAAGTTTATTTACACTTATAATTAGGTTAATGGGCATTTTGCCCTGCAAAAATTAGCCTAGAACAGAGCTAATCATCATGAATTCTAGATTAGCAGAGTTTGGGTTAGAGAAAATTTTTAGTTAATTTTCTAAACTGTTGATTTAAACTGTGTACAGAGAGCTCTGAATTCCATATGTATTTGCAAAATTATCAGCTTCAGTTGGGATACTCACAGCAGTACTTTTTTCTAAAAACATAAGGATCTAAAGTGCATTTAAAGGGACTATTTAAAAAATCAGTTTAGGTACAAATGCATTGCTTTTATGACTTTTTCCCTAACAAATTAGATTAAATGTCAGGATAGATCAGAGGTAAATTTCAAAAATAGTAAAAACACATGACATAATAGACGTTTACTGTCAAGATCAAACGTCACAACTTAATATTTATTTTCATTGTGAGCTAGATGCTTTCTCCTGTCTGTTTTCAGGTCAATCAGTAAATAACCCGCTTGCAAATCCATAGAGATAATCGGTTGGTTCGAAAGGCAATAGCTCCCTTCAAAAAACTGAAATCTGGGGGACTTCCTGGAGGTCCAGTGGTTAAGACTTCGCGCTCCCAATGCAGGGGGCATGGGTTCAATCCCTGGTCGGGGAACTAAGATACCACATGCCACACGGTGCAGCCAAAAAAAAAAAAAAAAAACTTGAAATCTGATTGAGAGGACAAAGTATATTCGTAAAAAAGAGCAGCAATAGCAAGGTAATAATAGCTAAAAGTTCAATAGCCCTTACCATGTGCCAGACATCATGCTGAACACGTGACAAATGTTAACTTACTAAAAGTTCACAAGAACCCTACGAGATAAGTACAATTATCATCCCATTTTATAGATGAGGGAATTGAAGCACAGAGTAAATATTGTACCCAGGGTCACACGGCCGGTAAGTGGAGAGGGCAGGATTCCAATCTGAACTGTGGCAGCGGAGGTCAGCGTGTAGCCAGTCACCTCACTGCATCCTGCACGTAGTGGCATTCAGACGGTAAAGCCAGAGGGATTCCGGAGGAGGCAAAGACCAGAGTGGTCAGGGAGAGTTTCACAGCAAGGATTCGATAGGTAGAGAGAAGCACCCACCTCTACTATGAGCACCTCAGAACAGCCTTTTGTTTTGGTGTCTCTGGCTTTTAGCTCAATATATACCTTAGAAATAGGAGAGCATTGGAAGAACAAAGGTATTAGGCAAGAACATGCATGCCATTTGCATGTGGACAATGAGGAGACCTATTCAGCCTAAGTGATGCCATCACGTAGAGGTGTAGCAAGGGTAAGACCAGGTCACAAATACTCTTAGGTGCCAGGCTAAGGATTAAGGCTCTATCCTCAGCAGCAGTGCTTCTCACACTCTAACATCCACCAGAATCACCTGGGGTCTTGTTACATGCACATCCTGATTCCGTAGGTCCGAGGTGGGTCCAAGAGTCTGCATTTGTAGTGAGCTTCAATGTTGCTCTTCCCAAGACCACTCTTTGAGTAGCAAGATTCTAGGTAACAGCAGGAAACCATTGTTGGAGCAGGGGGTGTGCATGGAGGGATAGGGGAGTGATGGACGAAAATCTGCCTATGCCTAAGTTGCAGCCAACAATTCTAAGGACTTCTAGGTGTACAATGTTGTAATTGATTTGATGTACAGAACCTTTCTCAATATGCCTCACCCCTCCTTTCAGATGCCAGAATGTCTTGCCTTAGAAAATGTTTTAAACCACACTTTGCCTTTCTTTCATACAGAGCAAGGCTAAAGAGCTGCCTCTTTCTGCTGTACGTTTTATGGAAGAATTGGGTGAATGTGCCTTTGGAAAGATCTATAAGGGCCACCTCTATCTCCCAGGCATGGACCATGCTCAGTTAGTTGCTATAAAGACCTTGAAAGATTATAACAACCCCCAGCAATGGACGGAATTTCAACAGGAAGCCTCCCTGATGGCCGAACTACACCACCCCAATATTGTCTGCCTTCTAGGGGCTGTCACTCAGGAACAACCTGTGTGTATGCTTTTTGAGTATATGAATCAGGGGGATCTCCACGAGTTCCTCATCATGCGGTCCCCACATTCAGATGTTGGCTGTAGCAGTGATGAAGATGGGACTGTCAAATCCAGCCTGGATCATGGAGATTTTCTACACATTGCCATTCAGATTGCAGCCGGCATGGAATACCTGTCTAGTCACTTCTTTGTCCATAAGGACCTTGCAGCTCGCAATATTTTAATCGGAGAGCAACTTCATGTAAAGATTTCAGACCTCGGGCTTTCCAGAGACATATACTCCGCTGATTACTACAGGGTGCAGAGTAAGTCTTTGCTGCCCATTCGCTGGATGCCCCCTGAAGCCATCATGTATGGCAAATTCTCTTCTGATTCAGATATCTGGTCTTTTGGGGTTGTCTTGTGGGAGATATTCAGTTTTGGACTCCAGCCATATTATGGATTTAGTAACCAGGAAGTGATCGAAATGGTGAGAAAACGACAGCTGTTACCATGCTCCGAAGACTGCCCCCCCAGAATGTACAGCCTCATGACAGAGTGTTGGAATGAGATTCCTTCCAGGAGACCAAGATTTAAAGATATTCACGTCCGGCTTCGGTCCTGGGAGGGACTCTCAAGTCATACCAGCTCTACTACTCCTTCCGGCGGAAATGCCACCACGCAGACAACCTCCCTTAGTGCCAGCCCAGTGAGTAATCTCAGTAACCCCAGATATCCCAATTACATGTTCCCGAGCCAGGGTATTACACCACAGGGCCAGATTGCTGGTTTCATCAGCCCACCAATACCTCAGAACCAGCGATTCATCCCCATCAATGGATACCCAATACCTCCTGGATATGCAGCGTTTCCAGCTGCCCACTATCAGCCAACAGGTCCTCCCAGAGTGATTCAGCACTGCCCACCTCCCAAGAGTCGGTCCCCGAGCAGTGCCAGCGGGTCGACTAGTACTGGTCATGTGACCAGCCTACCTTCATCAGGATCGAATCAGGAAGCAAATATTCCCTTACTACCACACATGTCGATTCCGAATCATCCCGGTGGAATGGGTATCACCGTTTTTGGCAACAAGTCTCAAAAACCCTACAAAATAGACTCAAAGCAACCATCTTTGCTAGGAGACTCCAACATTCATGGACACACCGAATCTATGATTTCTGCAGAACTGTAAAATGCACAACTTTTGTAAATGTGGTATACAGGAAAAACTAGAAAGTCGTAGAAAAGATTTATATTCAAATGTTTTTATTAAAGTAAGGTTCTCATTTAGCAGACATTGCAACAAGTATCTTCTGTGAAGTTTAACTGTGTCTTACCAACCAGGGCAAACACCAGCCAGAAAAAAAACATTGTGGGATTAACGCTCCATCAGGGTGTAGGCCATGCCACTGGGATTGGTACATCTGGTTTCAAGTACTGAAAACTGCAAACCAGTGAAGAGGAAACGAACCTTATGACCAAGTATCAAACCAAAAAGGAAGTCAAACGGTGCTCTGTGTATTCACCTTTGGCTGCCATGACTGTTCTCTCCCCAAAATGTATATACCATAGCATTTGTCTACCTGCTGTCTTTTCTTCAGGACAGATGTTCAGGAATTATGTTGATTCAATTTAGACACTATGCATGTTGGTATGGAAGTGATGTTCAGAATCAGTGAGGAAACTTTAGGCCAGATTTAAAATCCCAGATGGAAACGAGCCATAAGTGTAAGTTTCCCTGAAGCCTTCTACACAGTGGGGCTTCTTTGGGAACGTGAAAAGTGTGCCTCTTTGTGAGTCTCCTCTGTTGATCATGAAGGCTTTTTCCACAGTGTGTTTACACAAGCCCTTGAAATAACATAGGGCATCAGATCATAAGGCTAGATGTGGATGCTGAAATTGACCGCTGGTTGATAGTTCACTGTGTTGCATTAGAAATGAGGCACCAAAGGCAGCACAGTCAGGAAAATGGCCCCTTGGCCTCGATCAGCATCCATGGGAAAGGAACAAGGGTTCCCATGGGGACAGCCTCACAGGAGCTTCCCTGGACCAATAACACTGAAGAAAAGAGGTGTGGCTACAGACCAGCCCATCCATGCTTGCATCCTCCTGCTTATGAGCTGTCTAAGGTATGGGGGTGCATATGATCAGTGGACTCTGGGGAAGGAGGAAACTCTCTGACACCAGTATCTAGTTAATTTAAAGTTTCTCTCACTTTTTTTTTTTTTTTTCTGATCTGGAAATGTTCACAGATTTTATTCTAGCACCAAGAGTTATGACAATGTATTCATAGTGTTAGTTGGAATCCAAAGACTATGAATTCTATTTGCAAAATGTTACAGTATATTTTTAAAAAACAAGTATTGAGTTCTCGCTTCAAAGATAACCATGAACTGAAATTTTTAAGCTGGTAACTAGAAGCAACGTGATCATTTTTGCCTTAGTTAGAGGAAGGAAGGTATCAAATGTGCATATCATGCCTTACCTGCTAGCCATCTTCTGCCAAGTTTAGAATTCTTATGGGTTTCAAGTTCTATATAGAAAGGAATGTTATGATTGATTTTTCTCTTGTTAAAAGAATAACTCATTTATTCTAAGAGCAATGTCTCAAAGTCTCATTTTTTTTATTTTACAGCTGAAGAGACTTTATAAAGAGACTTACAGGATATAAAGTAATTCCTGGAAATGATATTTGATGAGGAGAATGTAAGAGACTTAGAAGCACGTTGACATTTCAATTTTGTAAAACAAAAAATTCAATTAGGACGAGAAATCAAAGAAATATGTTTACCAAAATGTGTTGCAATTTTCCCAAACACTGAATCTTCAGACAACAAATGTGGATTGTAGGTACTGTGAACACAAAGAATTGGCTATATTCAGATTTATTCAGAAATAAATTAAGACATATTTTTATGGCATAAATAAGCTGATTCAGAAGTTACATTTCTTAACTTTAGGTAGAGGAGAATATTTGTATCCTTTTGTTGCTATGCAACTGTTTAATGATGAAGATTCAAACCACAGTTTTGTATATCATACGACAATCAATTGTTTTCCCAGAATATTTATTATTTTAAGTAAACACAATTTCAGTGAACCTGTTTTTCTAGGAGTCCCTTAAAGGGAAAGTAGCATTCCATGAGCCAGTAAGATATCTACTCTGGAAAAACATTACTATGGGTAAAAAATAAATTCAAATTAGTTTTTTATAAAGAACTATAACATTTATTTTAAACATTTTATAATTACTGAAGTCATTAAGGTGAACAAACTAAATTTCAAAACCACTTGTAATAATGTATTTTATAATAGCACTGTGATACTACATAACACAGTCCCCTTTGTATTAAAATAGTATTTTTTTCACAGACTGAAAAATATCTTTTGCTTTGTGGACAATGTTTTGTAAGATGACTTTATTTTCAGATCTTTTCTCTTTTTTGCACAAAACTATGTTTATGGTTTGTATCACAGAAGTGAAATATATCTCTGCATTTTTATATCTGGTCTGTTTCCTTGTTTCCTTTGTTTGTTTTTAACTCGGTATAGATTTTCTTCAAATATATAATGGCAGTATTCAGATATCTCGCCCTATCATATCTTTCCTTATTTTCACTGCATGCATTTTAATCACTGTATTACTTAATGTTTGATTTGTTATTATGGGCATTTCAAATAGACAAGCATGGAATTGTAATGACAAGAAGCTTATTTTATATTGAGGATATATGCATTTGTATTTCACACACCAGAGATGATATTAAACACTGATTATTTTATGCTGCTGTTTATTAAAAATGTTTACCGTAAAATATTATTTCCTGAATATTGCTATTATGGAGGTATTTGGGAACTTTAATATTATCTCTCCTAATGTTTGACATTTCCTAGAAAGAGGAATCATGATTCGTATTTACTGCTATTTCATTGAAATGATTATTTTTAAGTAAGCTTTTAAAATAGACTTGGACATTCTTTTGCTAGTGACCATAGGTGGAAGGCAGAATCCCAATGACTTTATGACCATATATCACCCACCTATATATGGCAAGATTCTAATTTTTAAAATCAAAATAATATATTGAATAATTACTTAACAATCAAATGTAATGTGAAAATTGGTTTTTAAAGTTGCACCTTTTTCTGCCTTGATGTTTCCATGTGACCTTAGACATCAAAAATCATCTTAGAATTCTGAAGAAGAAAAAGCTGTGTACGTCTTATGTTCAACTTAGACGCCAACCATATTGATAAAATAAAAGAAATGTGGCCATTTAATTGTCACAGCTTATCTTTATGACCTTATTTGCCCAAAAGAAAGAGCTCCCCATCTGGCGATTAATACACACTGTCAAGGAAAATGAGTATCATTATGAAAGTTCAAAGAACTTGTCCATTTCTGCTATTTAATACAGAAGGGGATACAATAAAACCTTCAGGGCCTTATCCATCTGTTTTAGGTACAGCTCTTGTCACCGCCTCAGCGATCAAACTCAATAAAGCAATCACTTCACATGGCAGTGAGATCAGTGTCAGGCTGGGTTTCTCCCTCTCACTTGAATTCCTCAATCTGCCCTTCACTCCCATTTCCTTCTTATGTCTCCAGGCTCTTCCCCTCCCACCATCCCTAACTCCTTCAACTCTGTGATTGGGACCTTACCCTTAATTCTTTAATCACCCCATCTGCAGGCTCGTGCACCACCTCGGATAATACCTCCTACAAACCACTCAATACTGATTAAAGACGGGCTTTATTATCTACACACCTTCAAAGATGGTTACCTATCTCAGGGGTTCCCAAAGTGTGGTCCTCAGACCAGCAGATTTGGAACTTGTTAGACATGCAGATTCTCAGGCCTCACTTCAAAGTACTGAATCAGAAATTCTGGGGTGGGATCCAGCAATAAGTGAGAATTACAGGCCAGCCTAAAGGCCTGGGGGGTGGAAGGTGGGAGGATGGTCATTTACATCCTCAGCAATGTGTATATAAACATTTAAGAACATTTCAGCCACTTTAGTCCCCTTAAAGGTAGTCAGGTTTTACTTCATCAAAAATTCAACACTAAAAACTTTTGCATTAACCATTTGGCAATTGGTTATATTTTCTGTAGTTGTTCACTTGGATAGAAAAGTAACAGCACCTAGATTTGCCAAGAATATACTCCTTGTCTAGTTCACTCAAGACCACATTTCTTGGAAGGTGACTAAAAGCTTTTTCTTTCATATGGACAAGCACAAAAGAGTTGGTCTCTTAGTGTACCTTTTTTTTTTTTTTTTTTGATTCCTTGCATTGCTGATTAACACAACTAAAGGAACTCTCCTCTGCTTTGCAACTTGAGGTCAAGGATAGGCTAGTCTTTCTTGGGAGGGGGGAAGGCCCAGCTCCCAGTAAACATCAAGCAGAAGCAGCTGCAGAGGCTGCCCGCCTCCCCTGAGCTTCCTGTGACAACCTGACCCAGTTGGCTGCATGCAGTCACCTGTGGCTGCTCCCACTGTGTTCCTTTGCCAGCTGCAGTCTGTCAGTCCCCACTGGCTGGCCTTGAGTACTCCTCTGCTCCGCCGTGCTCCCCTCTGCCTCTGGAGGGCGGAAAGCTCTGCGGGAGGTACGAGAGGTGAAGCTCAGACTCTTCATTTATAGAGCATTTTTTTCAACCAAGAGTTCAAACGCTAAGGAGGAAACGCTATATTAGAGGAGCAGAAGGAACGAGGGAGCACACACGTAAGAGGAAAAGTTTTGCAGCTACAAGATGCCTGCACCTGAAGTTTGTTACCATAAATGCCAAGAGTGTTAGGAAGCTGTTAACTCAGAGGAAGGAGAGCCTTACAAACCATCAAAGCACCCAAGGGCAGCGTAATCCTCTGGGAAATTAGGCTGGGAAGGCTTCAAAACATAGAGCCGTACAGGGAGAAGGTCTGCTTACCTATTTATGACTACTTGAATCCTAGGCACCTATGAATTGGTTATTCACACGAGGTCTATGACATTTGCCGACCAGGCCCGACATGACACTGATCCTCACCCAAGTGACCAGGTTAGTAGCTGTTCTTATCCCAAAATGGTTAAATTAGGAGAACGACTCCTAAGATCAGATAGGGCATTACTGTACTTACATGTACTTACACTTGTTAAAAGGTCACTATCTCAAGAGGTCAACATGCTGAAATAAGGGGATATTCAGTTTGCGGGAAAGTGGTTCTAAAGGTCAATCTTCATGGACCTATGTTCTTGAATGTAAATTCAAAGACACACACGAAACTACAGAACTGGCTGCACGAAGACAGAGATTAATGCTCAAGCTCCCCATGGCCGTAGAGGCACATGTAATTTGCAACAGAAATAGGTGGAGATCAGGCTCC